AGTCCTGTTAATTCTAATGAGATAAAGGATGCTAAACCCCCCTTCCTCCCCCTCTTCCAACATTTCTTTATAGCTGGCTGACTAAATGATATATAACCCTGAAGGTATGGCAGACTATGCTCATGCACTCATGTCTCCTGCAGATAAATAGTGTCATATTCTTGTAGTGTTCTGACAAATTCTCTGTCCACCATCATACAGTTCATAGAATTCAATTTTGATTCAGTTAAATCTCAAGTGGTGACTCACTGATCCCTCTATTTTTGATGCTTTGGGGTGCTATTAAAGGCTCAACACCCCCAGCAGGGAGACTGGGAGCTTTTCTCATTGTTTAAGAGTCTAATTGTGTATTGTTTAACGGAATGCTACTATCTTGTGCTGGAGCAAAGAAAAGGCAGTCTCCAAGTACTCATTAATTACCAACAGCCTTGGGTCAGATGGAGTGATGTTGAAACTGGAAAAGGATTGATATCTCCACACACAATTTGATTAGACTGATAGTATATTTCTGAATTAGTTTTCCAGTCTAGGATGACATTACTTAATTCTTTAAGTACTGAGTCTGTAGAGAGCTCATCTACCTAAGTTTCTTCCTTTTGCTGGTGATCCACCAGGCTCTCTTCATCCTCTTTACTTTGTCAGGGGAGCCATTGTCAAAATCCTGAGCTCAGCTAGCCTGACCATAGTGCTGATAGTAGCTTTGAGACCCAAAACTGCCTCTTGCAGAACATTTTATTAAAACTCTCTGCTGTTGGTTTAGACAAAAACATCCATCTCTTAATAATCTGTACAATGTAGAGGATTCAGCCTCAACATCCACTAATGCAGCTTCACCTAAAGTCTTTCTGAACGTATTTAATATTTATTAGTTTGTATGCCTTTTGACAGGTGATGAGCAATCTGCCTTTTCTTCCAATATTGAGTCAATTAACCAGTGAATTGGATAATTATCATGAAAGTGTAAGAAAGACTCTTCTTTGTGAAAGATAACATATCTGGCTTTAGGCTCTGCACCTCTACCATTTAATAGCTCACAGTTATTGTTTAGGGGTAAATCTGCTTCTTGGTTCATCCAGTACTGGTTCTCTTCTGTCTCTATTTCTCTAAGCAGAGGGTCACAATAGTCTATGATAGTTTTCTAGACTAGGCTGATAATGATTTTTTGGAGAAGGCTTGCTGTAATAACCATTTTATAGAAGTAGGATATAGAAAATACCTACAGGAAACAAACTAATCAGATAAAGTCCAAGGTAATAAAATATAAATATTTAAAGTAACTTCAAAAAACTCCAAAGTTTATATATAAAACCAAGCATTTTGAATTTAGTTTGAATACATTTATATAAAAAAACAAAGAAACAAACTAGTTTGTTACAGCTAAAACCAAGGAAGGATTTTAGGATCTTCATGCGCTAATTTGTTCCTATATGAAGAAGCAACCACTGTAATGGCAGAAGCTGTTAAGCATAGTAAACTTCCAAGTGCTACCCCTCTGAGAGCTCCTCCTCATATATCTAAGCACCAAAGAAGACAAACACCGTCCTAGTCATTTTTCCCTCTCCTCCTCCATCTGCTTCCCTCTTTCACTTACAATGTAACAATGGATCCCAGTGCCCAAGCTGCCTCATTAAGTTTTTTAAAAGACCACAAATCAAACTCACTACTGGCATGATCAAGCTTACTGTGTTCATCAAATAATTTTAAACTGGCCTTCACTCTCAGAGTTATCCAGTTTTTATATTAGGCCAAATTTATTGCTGAAGAACCTGAGTTGTCTCACAGACTCTCATTCTTCTGCCTAGGTGGAAAAGAATCACTTTTTCCTGAAGCAGGGGTTTATCTTCCTTAGCAAGGAAACGTGTCGATTTCAAAATCCATCCCAAGAGAATCTCTGGCAAGAGCCAATCTTCTTGTGCTTTAAAGAAGATTGACATAATAAAAGATAAAATGGTAATGTAATTCTGCAGCCCATAATGTCCCAGATTAGATCGGAGTGATAGAATGAGTTAGGGGGAGGTTGTTATTTGCAGGGCTGTCTTTGCAAACCTAATCATAAGAATTGCTGCTTCTTTACCATGTGTTGCTACAGCATTGAACAGAACTGAGGTTTTTTTCACATTAACTATAATGTGCACAAGCCTCCCCAGAAATGGTGCACAAGCCTCCCCAGAAAAGCAGTTCACTACCTGCATTTCTTGGTTCATTCCAGCTACAAATACGTTGCATTGTATGATCCACTGTACAATGGCTCCATCTTACCTTAAACATGGATCACACAATTCCTCAGGAAAACAAACGATGATGTAGTATCGTAAAATTATTACTAACGTGGCCTGAGCTTCTGTGAGCAAGAACTGCAAGCATTTCTTAAAAGCACATTGTTGTAGAACTCCAGGGGTCCTGAACAGACGGCTCTGGGGAGCAGGGCACAGGCTCCCCTCTCCTTGTGCCACTGGAGCAATTTGCAAGCAAATGTTATTGCTGGCCTGATCTCTAATGTACTCCAGAGGGCTGGAGGGTATACTGAATCTGCAAGCGTCTGCAGTTGGTGACCAGAGCAACCATGGGAACCCTTTCGCCTTACGTATTTCCTGACTCTCTGCTCTGGCTCTTCAGTGTGAGCAAGGGGTTGCTCAGTGCAGGCCAACCTGCTCACATCAACTACTTGAACAATGGGGAGTTAACTGGCAGGTGCTATTCCTCTATCCCACCCACCCATTAAAAGCCTCTGCAAATCTGCTGGCTTGCCCACGTCTGGGCCACCAGCCCTGACACGTCCCCTGATCTGTGAGGGGCATTCATAGTTTGGGTGAGGGGGCGGGTGCAGGCTGGACTAAAGCATCATACATGCATGTTTCAGAGGGCTTGTGGTTTTCAACTAGCTGATTCAATAAAAGATCACTTTCTCCAATGTGTCCCAAATTTTCTATTCATTTTTCTTTCTGTGATGTGAGTAATGTCAGCTTGCGCTTAGACATGCCTTTGCTCAATTCTTCCATGTTCCCATTTCAGACAAATATAATGAAGGTGAAATAACTATTCACGGCTTAAAATAAGTATTTATTTGTGGTGGCATCCATTTAGTCAGCTTTATGCATGTTGCCATTTCTGTACTGGCAGTCCTCTCCTTTGCTTTCTGAAAATCTGTAGTTGTTCTAGGCTAACTCAGTGACAGCATTGTGAGGAGTTTGCTAGATCTGGGGGAGGACAGGCGCCAGTAGGTTGCATGAGAATCCTGCCCCACCATCGCTCTTACGGAGTCAAGATGGTGCCTACTTTTTTGTTCAAATATCACAAATTTAGCTCTTTCAGGCAGTGCTTCAACAATTGATTGACATGTCTGGAAAATAACCACAGTCTGATCTCCAGTAACAAATGCTACAGCCCCACTCAAAAGAATGAGATTTAAAAGTATGCAGTTATGAACTGGTTGCAGTTTAGGTTATTAAAACTAGGTGCTACTTGAAATAGTCATGGAGTTAACCTGGCTTCCCTTAAGAAGGCTGTGGCTGTGATTTTGCCTGCTACTGTTGCCCACCTTGACAGCAGACACTGAATCTTAGTAAGCTACCAGGGAATGAAAAGGTGTAGTAAATAATGCTGACTTGAGAGTGCGAAATTGATTACAATTTTTGTACAAGTACAAAACTCAGTGAAAAAATCATTCAGTTGCAGTAAAGATGCAAGGGATAAAAACTGCAAAGTACCGCATCAGAAAGCTCTACAAAAAGTATAGGCAGAGCCTACATAGCTTCTCAGCAGGAGGACTAGATGTTAATCTTAGCATTGGTATGAAGCTGTTCTCTGCTAAAAGCAGCAAATTGCATCTGCCAGACGAGAGCCAGGGCTACTCACAGCATTTATCTGAGGCCGAGGAAATCAGTGCAGTGAGTTGCTTTACAATGAGCCAGAGCAGTGGTCCATTTATCTAGCAAGAATGGTTCTGGCCTAGCTGATTACCTGCTGTGCTAAGTTTCCACTTGAAGGAAGGTGGAAGTTTTCATATAAGTGCGTGTTTTAAAAAGAATGTTTCCCTCACCTGCACTCTGAAATTGTAGTGAACTCTACTACCTTAGAATAGCACCTTATCCCTACTTAGTTTTGCTGCATATTTTGGTAAGGCAGGTCACTTACATCCATTTGCTTCTGGGTATATCTAAGGAGTTGGTTTTAACCTTTGAGGCCCTTCTGAACTTGGGACCCATGTACCTTAGAGACTACTTTCCTTGTAACATCTCCCACATTAGCTGTCTTCTGTGAACTACCTGCTGTTTTGTATTTCCATTCCATAATTCACCTGTAGCAGGGATTTCACAGCACTGGCCCTGAGACAGGAGAACAAGCTTATATTATAACTTTTGAGCTTATATTATAACTTTCAGAAAGATATTATTTATTTCATTGAATTTCTGGCTTTATTTTTGGTTAATGTATGTTCCAAACTTGTAAGCTGGTAGCTGTTTTTGCCTTGTTGCACCTCTTGTTCATGTCTTGATTTTTATCCATTGTAAGTATCTTTGTGTCCACTGAAAAGTACCTCATGTGTAAATAAAGGAATTAGTGAACATTCTTTTGATTGTAGGTATATAAGACAAGACATAGGAGCCCAGTGAAAGGATAGTGCTATAGGAAGACAGCACCTAACCACAATGCTGGAGACACCAATCAACTTGAATTCAAAAGTAAAATACGAATGCTTAGGATTTTGTAGGAGTTTTAAGATCCCAGTCACTGCAATGCACATCTCCAGACCCATTTGGTATAAGTGAACTTCAGAAAGAACTTCAGAAAAGAGTCATAACTGATTTCAGCATACCCTACACTGGGCTACCAGTTTTTGTAGAAAACTAGCAAACTTTTGACTGCACAAAGCTCTTCAGGCCGAAGTACTACTACTTCAATAAGAGAAGATTTAATGGACTTCCCATTTTCTGCTGTGCTACCATTTATTACACATCTAACACACATCCGTTCTGTTCCTCAGGTCTTTCTCACCTAAAATGACACAACAAATGAAAGATCTGCAGCTGGCCCAGTCTAGGAAGCAGCCAGGACCCTCCTCTCCAAATGCTGCCAAAAGGCTCTACCGGAACCTCTCCGGGAAATTCCGAGTTAACTACATGTCCTTTGATGAAGGCAGCTTAGCAGGAAGAAGTGAAAAGGAGAAGTTGCGCAAGTCCTACCTTGTGAGTATACAGTGGTCCCTCGGTTCACGAACTTATTTTGTTCCACAATTCTGGTCACAAACCAAATTGGTCGCGAACTGAGTCAAATTTCCCCATAAGGTTCAATGTAAATACAGTTAATATGTTTTGAACCATATATAATTTTTTTAACCACAAAAATATGAAACAAAGTACAGTACATTATGAAGAGAGAGAACACTAACCTTGCTTGAGGCGAGTTCTGGTGTGGAGGACAGGAAGGTGGGTGGGGAGGAGGGTATCGTTTGCAGGGGAAGTCTGCGACCGAAATTTCGACTAGAGGAAGCCACGACCACATGTCAGAGCAGGGAAGATGACCATGTTCGTCTTCATGCAGGGAGGATGACCGCGGTCGTGTTCATCACGCAATGTGGAGTTCGCGAACAGAAGCAAAATTTTGCCGAACTTTCTGTTCATGAACTGAATAATTTGCGAACAGAAGTGTTTGTGAGCCGAGGTATCACTGTACTTCAAACAGAACTGTTCTATGCTCATAAAATTGTAATTGTATATGTCTTAAGAAATGGATTTGTACAAGGGAATGGATCTAATTTTGATGCTTCTCTTTAATATTGCGCTTGGGCTCTACCATGTTTACCGACTTCCTTGCTCTCACAGTGGTAACTGGTGATGACTTGGAGAAGCTGAAAAGTAAACTGCCTAGTCAGTTGTGAAAACAGTCACACAGCCTGCAAGTGTCAGTCGGTTTGATCATGTTAATGTGGTGAAAGCAAAGTCAAGTGGGTGAAATGAGTGCTGCCTTCTGTTTCTCCTTACAGTTTCAAGGCAATGCTGCTCTCTTTGAGGCTGTTGAGCTGCAGGATCTTGAGAAAGTCCAGGAGCTGCTTAAGCAGTATAGCCTGGAGGAGCTAGACCTTAACACCCCAAACAGCGAGGGTCTTCTGCCACTGGACATTGCCATCATGACCAACAATTCACCCATTGCCAAAACACTGCTGCTGGCTGGAGCCAAGGAAAGTCCTCACTGTAAGTCACCATTCAATGGTCCTGTCTTATCATAACCAAATTCTTTCCTAGGTGCTGAACCATCACAGTTTCCTGACACCACAAGCAAAGCAATTTCTGGTCAATGGTAATCAACGAAGACCATTTAACTACATGAGAAAGGTCCTGTAGGGGAAAAAACAGGATTGCTCCAGTGCCTTTCATAGTTGTACGGCATAGCCACAGTACAGGATAAATCAAGCTGCCAGGCAGACATTAGATAAAGGTGGAGGAACTTCTCCTGGGTCTGGAGGAGCCAGATGTCTTCAACCTGTCTGGAGTCAACATTATAGATTTTGGTGCATAGCGGTGCAAAAGACAGCTAGAGCACAAGGAATCCAGAGACGTATGTCACCCCAAGAAGCCGCCTTATCAACATGACTGCCAGGAGTGACCCGCCAGCAAAGGGGAATGGCAGTGGCAGAAGCATCAGGAGGGTGACTTCATTCTCTGTGGCCACATGCAGCTTGTAGTGACATGTTCCTGAGGAGGAGATTCTTCGAGCTGATTTGCTTGTTACACGATGTGGGTCAGCAGAAATAGGAGCAATTCAAACTGAACTTCTCGTATACTGCAATCCATGCACCTGATGAATATCCAGGTCAATTATCAAGAATGGCTTCCTGAAATAGAACTAACTTTGCCACAAAAAATGCTGTGAAATACTGAAGTGTATATAACAACAAGGAAGGGAATTTGTCTCCCTTCGGTTTACTGGCTAGGAGCAGCAGGAAAATCTTCAGCTCCTGGATATTTGCAAATAGTCTGCCTCATGAAGAAACTAATGTGCTGGAATTAGGGTCAGGAACAGAATGCCCTTTCTTTAAATGAAGGCATTCCTGTGAATGGAGAGCAGAAAGGGAGTGACTTTGAATAAGTGTTTATTAGCACTCTGTCCCTGGAGATGGGGATATTCTCCCACAAGTTCTCACACAGACATTCTAAATAGGTTGTGCTGGATGCAGCCACTGGGGTCTCTGCTTGCTGGGTGGCCCACACAGAGGGTAGCCACAGCCCTAGCTGGGAATATGTAATAATGTGTAAGAATGGAGTTCAGTGAAAGGAGGTAGTGAACTCCAAAAGAGGTGTGTATTTCTTTGCTGTCTGGCCATAAGAGTCAGACAAACCAAGAGATTCTAGTGAATACAGCACATGTACACTTATCCTCAATGCAGGCCTTCTCCTCTTTCTTAACACATGCTGGCTTAGGAAGTGCAAGTACCTTGCAAAGAATTTTGTGCCAGCAATTTGTCATCTACTACACTTTGAATCTGCTGCTTCTCAGAAAGCAGCAACAAAACAGAATCTAGCCATCCCATCTGAAGGTGGGACATTTGTCCCAAGTGCCAGCTGCGTGTAGGGATATCCAGCAACTGGTTGCTGCAGTCCCATTCTGTCCCAGCTGCAACACAGCGCCTGAAGGCACCAGAAGTGGGGCAAGTATGTGTGTGTACACTTGTGCATGTGGCTGTGTTGTGGGGTGGCGTGCATGGTCCAGGAGGGAAACTGAAGGAGAATGCAGAGGCCATGGGGCAGCATTAAGGCCCATCTGAGTCTTCCCACCAGATAAGGGTGTTTTCATAAAGGATGTCCAGAAAATTTTCAGTCATGGTTTCATCATGACAATTGCAATGAAATAGGAAACGGGCTTGCAATGTGGATGTTGTTGATACGGATTTGAAAGTAGAAAAGCCATGACTTGTGGTGTTGCTTAATTTTGATTCTGCTAGTAGAGGCAAATTCTGTAATTTGAATTTGAATTTTCTTTGAATACTGAAAACAGGAAGCAGTTATAGCTGCTGTCCTCTAACAGCAAGCTCCATTATTTCTGGAATCTTTTAGTTCCTACTAAATAGAACCAAATTTGTCAAAACTTAGAAGAATTTCTGACTTTGTCTGAGAAGAGGTTGTTTTACTCCAAAGGAGATTTCTGTTCATGATGAGCAACAGGTTTCCTGTACACTGCAGGAGTAGATAGCTAGGCCTCTCAGTCTACAATTAAGAGGAACCAGAATGTTATGCAGTTTGTAGAAGCACTCGTGAAGGTGCAGTTCTGTGGCTCGATCCAATAACTGTATCCACAGTTGAACAAATCATTGATCCCATATTGCTCCATTCCCATATTGGGAATGGAGATTAGGATTTGCTTCTTGGGCTCAAAGGATTTTTTGAGTGCAAAGCCCAAAAGGAACTTTCAAACAAGTTTTTTCCTTATCACATTGTTCTTCCTCCTCCTCTTCTTACGCATCATCTTAATTTTTATCCTTCCTCCCCTCTGTATTCCTTTGCAAAGTTGTGAGCCTGGAGAGTCGGTCTTTGCACCTGTCAACACTGGTCCGGGAGGCAGAACTGCGTGTCAATGATCTCACGGCTCAAGTGGTGAATGAGGTACCCAATGCAGACTGCTCAGAAAAAGAGAAACAGCTGAAAGCCTGGGAGTGGCGCTATCGGCTTTACAAGCGCATGAGTGCTGGATTTGAACATGCTCGTGAGTGTCTGGCAGAGCAGTGCATTTCATATCACCACCTAAGTAGAACAGGGATTAGAATATGGGCTGTGTCACCACAGAATCGCCAAATAAGAAATCAGACCAGACTTTCTGTAGTCACTGCGAGAAAGTCAGAGAAGTGGCATCAAGTTCATCCAAGCCAATGACCAAGCACTGAGTGGGAGCCACCTTTCCAAGAACCTCTAAGAGATTAGTCCCGTATTCTTGCTGCCATCAACACATGCCCGTGGACTTCTCCCGCCCATGCCCAGCATTATGTATCGTGCTGGTTGATACAATAGATGAATGTAGCCTGTACAGTCATAGTGGGCCACGTGCATTAATAATTACACCATGGAAATGACTCAGTAAACCCAATTGCTCAGTCGCCTGCATGCTGAGGGAAATTAATTGCAAACCCAAAGTATAATGGCAACAGTGAGCTGTCGACTACAAAAGCTACTGGAGGTACCAAGCTTACTGAAAAGAATGTTTTCTTCACTTTTTAAGTTTCACAAATCAACTCTTCCTGGTATTGTATTCCCATTAGTAACAATCCCTGTTGCTTCAGGGAGGGAAGACAGAAAACTCAGAATCTAAATTTCAGGGAGTTCATCTGCCTTATCTTTCATGTGACCTTCTTAGCTATTAACATAGAAGGATACCAGAAAGGGCACAATTTGGCTAAACTTACAAGAGTCAGGATGGAAATTGTGGGTTTTGTGTCCCTTTTCTTTTCCTTCATAGTTTAAGCAGTGAGTCAGAGAGGCTTCTTTGAGTGACCATTATGGATTCAATCCCCCTGTCCTGCTACACATATGCTTGTGCTGTGCAGTCATATTACTTTTTACAAAAAGACATAGCAAAGGAAACAGGTCTTCCTTTCTGTGACAAGGGTCTCTTCCTATGTTAATCCTGATTGGCAGCTACATTTTAAATTAGGTGTCCACACGTTTGTATACATGAATGTGTCCCGTTTGATATCTGATCTCAGGGGTTCCAGATCCACCCACGAATGTTCACCTTTCAGTGGCCAGCAGCAGTTCTGTGGAAGTTTCCTTCCAGGAGCCTCTAAGTGTCAATTCAGCTGTTGTCACCAAATACAAAGGTAAGCCCATAGGGTGCTCACCGCCCTAGTACCTGATAATATCACTTACTGAGGCATGTGAACTGATTTCCCCCTTTGTGACAATCCATCTGCACATGGAAATCATATCCTAATTAACCCCTGGGTCATTGATCCTGCTTCAAGATCCATTTTTGTGAAATACTGCTTGTAGCTTTAACAAAATAATGTCTGAAGATACATGAAAGACGAAAGGGGGCAAAGAGAAAAAGAAATGCATCCATGTCGTTCCATGGCTACCTGGATATAATTGTATCACTGTCACAAAATATTGTATAGTTCCCTTAAGGGCTTGGAAGTGGACATTTTCCATGGTTGTCCTCCCAGAGCCATCATCAGTCACACTCATTTTGAATAACTTTATTATATACTTCATAACTTTATGAAAACCTAGTGGCTGGATTAATTTGTTGGATTAGTTTGTTTTTCCCACACCTTTTCCCTTTTGCATCATGTATATGAGATTGGAAACCTGCAGGCAGACGCTAGTTGGTTTGTTTGTTTGTTGCATTTTTGTACAACACCTAAAAACTTTATTATGAACATCTGGTGGCTTAGGGAATCTCATGTTTTGTTTTTAAAGCCTGCTTAGTTATTGAGCAAGTTCCAAGGCTTTGGCGACTGGGGCGGCATAAAAATGTTTTAATAAATAAATAAAATGAAATAAAAGATCTGTGAATCTGGCCTAATTGAAAGACTCAGAATTCATAACCTGTCTAGGACTAGTGGCCAGCATTCTGTGGACATTTCCCTATTTTAACTCCTTGACATTAATTTTTGCAAATTAACATCCAGAACCCAGATTGTTGCTGGGTTCTGAAAACTTCCCTACCAAACTATTTGGTGACAAGTTACCAAAGAAAATTAGATAGTTCTTTTTATTAGAGATAGTGGATATATTAAATATATATATAGCTGTCATTTCTTACATTTAAGTATGATAGTACTTAGGGTTAGGGTGTTTTGGACATTCTGATAGTGCTCCATTTCTTCCTTTGTTTTGTTTTATACATTACATTTGGTTGTTTCATCTCTTTGTTTTGGGATATGCCTGGACACCCAGATTAAAAGATACAGTAACTGGGGGAAGAGGGAGAAAACAGGCCATTTGAGAAAAAAGACCAGACATGGCTACTTCCAGACATTAAGACATAATTCCCTTATTAAAAAATAAATAAAAATAAAAACCCACCATGCCTGGTGACACTGTGGCTGAATGCTATATTGACCCATAATAAAAGATAAATCCTCCAAAAGATAAATATGGGAAAAAAAGGCTTTCCCTGGTATACATTACTGAAATTTGAGTAGACAAGCTCAGAGAACTTATTCTCAGTTGTGTCCACCAAATTCTTGGTACAGTGCTAACATAAGCTGAATGCCCAGGATTGGGTGGATGGGATGTGGTGATGCAAAGGGGTTTCATCTGGCTGCCTAACAGTCTGTTTCAGCTGAAAGAGGCAGGCGTGGTACTGAGGGTTCAGGATGGTGGTCCCAGGAAGACCTTGATATGCGCACTAGTCTCACTTCATCAGGGATGGCTCAGTACTGCATGGCTGCCAAAGTATCTATCAAGCTGTCCCACGTGACCGATTGACAGCTTTGGACATAGCTCTGTGCAAAGCTATGGTGGTGTGGATGTGGATGTTTTACAGGAGAACTGGAAGCAATGAAGCAGTGCAGATGGTGGCTAGAAAACAGGTGGTGAAAACCTAAGAGCAAGTACAGTGGAACCTTGGCTCACGAACGTAATCTGTTCCAGGACTCTGGTCATGACCCAAATTGGTCATGAGCCAAGTTAAATTTCCCCATAAGGTTCCGTGTAAATAAGGTTAATCTGTTCTGTAATCATTTTTTAAATCAGAAAAATGTGAAGCAAAGTGACAAAGAACAACAAAGATCGCAGCCATCTCCCCCCCACCCACCCTGAGCACAAGCGTGGCCATCTCCCCATCCCCTCTAGCACAACCAAGTTTACACCTGTCATCCCTGCACGTGCCCGTCATCCTGGTGCACTGGGGGGTGGGACGGAGAGACGGGCTTGATCGCGGGCGCACTGGGGGAGGGAGAGATGGGCGCGAATGAGGCATGATGGGGGAGGGAGAGATGGGCATGATCTCGGCCATCTCCCCCCGACCCCCAGCACAATCACAGCCATCTCCCCACTTGGGGGAGTGGAGAGATGGCCACAATCGTGCTGGCTGGGAACGGGAATGGTCAAGATTGCGCCCATCTTTCCTGCAGGAGCGCGCCCGTGATCACGCACGTCTTCCCTGCACAAACGCAACTGTGAATGTGGCCATCTCCCCACTCGGGGGGGGGGTGGCTGCGATCTTGGTTGTCACCCAATGCGGAGTTTGCGACCCACATCAAAATTTTTATGAAATTTTTGTTCGCGACCCGATTTGGTCGTGAACCTAGGCGTTTGTGAGCTGAGTTACCACTGTACAGTCAAACATGGATACAAGCTCTTTTTAGAACTCATTTTGTGATTTTGGTGGCAGTGAAAAAGCCACTTCTCCATCACCATCACAGTGCTGTCTACCATGACAGTGTTGTCTACCAAACTGTTCTGGATGCTTCAAGGCCTTCTCAAGGAGATGGCTGATTCTCCTGGACCTCTCAATGGGACTTCTCAGTACCAACAACCATGGTATCCTTCTGGGTCAGCTCTCCAGGACAGAGACGGAGAACACTATTCTTCACTGGTTCTGTTCCTATTTGGACGGCCACTTTCAGAAGATAGTGCTAAGAGTCTGTTGTTCCTACTCAGTGGCAGGTACACTAGGGTGTTCTGTAGGGCTCTGTTTAGTCCCTCATGGTGTCTAACATTTACACAAAACAGCTGAATACAATCATCTCAGGATTTGGGGCAAAGTGTCATCAGTCTGCAGATGATAGACAACTCTATCAAACTCTCGTGAAGTTGTGGAAGTGCTAAACTGCTGTCTGGAATTGGTAACAGATTGGATGGGGGCCAGTAAACTGAAGCTCAGTCAATCCAAGACAGAGGTGCTGTTTGTCCAGCCAAAGACGTAGTCATCAGCCCGGTCTGGATAGGCTGGTGCTCTTGAAAGTTCAGGTTCACAGAGAGCTTTAGGATTGCTTGGCCTTGTCTTTGGAGGATGAAGCATGTTGCCACCTCAGGCTGGTGTGTCAATTGCAACCCCCCCCCCCGGGCAAAGACATGTTGGCTGTGGTAACCCATGCCCTGAGAAATTCTTTTGAATTACTGCGTCATATTGCACATGGGGCTGTTCTCAAAGATTATTCAGAAACCAGAAGAAGTGCATAATACAGCAGCTGGATTGCCAGCATACTGGGAGTACAGAAAAAATCTCCCAAGGCTGAAACTGCTGCACTGGACCCCGGTCTGTTTCTGCACACAGTTCTAAATGCCGGTTTTGTCCTTTGAAAAGTGTGTGTGCACTTTGTAGCGGTTTTGCAGTCGTTCTCTCAGGTTGCAGCAGGCGGGTATGGGAGGCAGCACCATTCAGAGCCCAGTTCAGTTCCATCAGGATTTCTTTCTCCCTGAATTGTTTCCAGCTGGATAGTGTAAGAACGACTGTTTAAGAATTGGTGTCTAAGCTTGCAGTTTTTCCTTTTGTGTCAAGTCTGTTAGATTGTAAGCCTGTGGACAGTGACTGCCTTGTTTTTATTGATCCTGTGTAAGCAGCTTTGGGAACCTCTCAGTTGAAGAGTGGGTTAAAAATGACTTGAATAAGCAGCTTGGGACTTTCAGGACCTACCTGAAGAGATCTCCTCTCCCGCCATAAACCTGTCCTGTAATATGCACCCGTTAGTTTCCATATGCTTGTTCATCTCAGTCACAGCTAGCTGCTTCGCAAACACTGATAGAACACTTGAGATATTTAAAAACTGAGTCGATACATTTTCTCCATAATAGCTGAGGCTTACTGAAATTAAGTCTCCTAGTTGTGAAATTTGAACTATTCTCATGCTTTTTTCCTCGCCCACCTCTTTTTGTGATCTGGATCAGTTTCAGCACTTTGCCACCAGGTGCTGTGCTGAAAATTCAGTGGAAAGTGCCTTCCTATGTAACGCGAGAAGGAGAAAGGGGTGGCCCTGCTTTATGAGGCTGACCAAATGGAGGTGGTCCTACACCAGGTCTAAAGGTTTTGGCCCTTTCTTCCCTCCCTAGCTGCTCACCCAGAGTTGAACGCTATAATTCTATCCCATCTTCAGACTGCTTTTTGGGTATAACGTGTGTTCCCTTTTCGGCTTTAACACCTGCTCCCTCAACATAGATTTTCCATCACTTTAAATCCTGTGTGTCTTGTCATCATAACTTTGGATTTCAGAAGAATTTTCCTTTACCAGCCACCACCAAATCCAGCCACTTAATCTGTTCTGACTATCCATCTCCCCCCTCCTCCCTCTGTCGCCTTTGTTTGGTCCATCTGTTGTGTTCTCTCTCTTTTATCTCTGGGTTCATCAGTCTGTCTGTTTGTCTATTTAGCCTGCCGTTTTGCTTTCACTCTGTTGCTGTTGGGTCCCATGCGCTGAGGTCCACAGCTGAAGTTACAGTAGCTAGAGAGCCTCCTCTTTTCCACAGTGTGCAGTTCCTGCATCGCACATTCGGCAGGGAGCGAGGCCCTTTGAATATGGGAAAGGTGTGTCCTGTTATTGCTCCCTTGCAATGTATACCTCCCCCCAAGCCCCCTCTTCCATGCCTTTTCTCAGACATTTTTCCAGTATGCACAGCTGGTCTTGCTGTAGCTCGTTCTTCAGTTTCACAGTCAATCCCTTTACAGCAGCTGTACCATCCCTGGCAGCCCAGCTTCTAATCTAGCCCTGTCTGCCTGCCAAGTGCTACATCTTTCGCCTTGCTGATGAAAGACCCCAATTACTGACAGAGTGGCTGTGCTTTTCCTTTGTTTGCAGTGGAGTGGAGTTGCTCCCCCACCTTTTCCCCACCACTGGGAGAAGTGGTGATCAACAAGCTGAAAAACCTGCGTGTCACCATCCATGGCCTCATCTCGGTGAGTGACTTGCTCTGGTACGTGTCGAGCCACAAGGCTACTTCAGGGCATGACCCCAGCTGACCGTCCACCTAGTGTTCGTGTTCTAAGGCGCCAGCATGCAAGGTGGCTTTACACTGACCTTCTACCCACCTTACAGCAGGTATCTGCAGGTATCCAAATGCTTTCCCTGTGCACTTTTCTTAGGAAATGCACCCATTTCAGCGCTCAGTATAGTCTCACAGAGGACAAAAGCTATTGTAGTAAACTGTATGGAAGGGCCGTTTTGGTACACTGAAATATTTGTGACCTATTTGAGATCTGCTGGGTAGAATCTGCCAGGCAACAAGATGTACCACTTACCATGTACCTTGATTCAGAGCACCAGATTCTGTTTCCGGTAAGTACATTTAGTTTGTGCTTTGCTGTGTGGTTGTAAAATAGGAGTAAGCATTTTGTCCTGCTTTCTGGGATAGAGATAAGTCCAAAGTTAGCTTTACAGGTGAATTTGGTAAGAGCTGAAGAGTGTGGAAAGGAGAAAGGGGGCAGCCTTATTCAGATCTTGCTTTTGCATGTAGTGTGGGAAAGTGGTGTGTTCGAAAGAGAGCATATGATTGGTGGAAATATGTCATTCATCTTTTTCTGCACTGTAACACCAGAAGTGGAAGGGAGACATCCAATTATTTGAATGCTCTTCCATGTGAAAAACATCTAACAAAAAATATTAGCTTATCAGGGGAAAGGGGTTTACTTAGGCTTCTCATGGCATGGTTGCCATGAAGTAGCTCTTACCAGCCATGAAGCATGTTGTCAAGGTACTTCTGGGGTAAATTGTCCAGTCCTGGGAATCATGGTGATTATTTTAACTATTTTTCAGAAAACAAAATGCCCTAGGCTGCCCCTGGAGATAAAGGAGATCTGATGTATTCTAGATAATTTGGAAGAAAAACGAAGAAATTGATAACTTAAGCTAGATAATTTGGGGGGAAAAACCTAAAAATTGCTCCTTTCTGTTCTGTTCATGTTCTGTTTCATGAATGTTGAAATTCATTCCTATTTATGTTCATTTTTTACTCCTTGTCAACTCAGGAGCTGGTCCACTGGTACTATCTTTTCCTTCTTTCTTGTCTTCACATTCTTTCTCCACATATACTCACAGTTTTGTTTAATCTTACTGGTTGTGACTAGCCTTGATTGATTGATTGATTGATTGATTGATTGTGGCATATTTACACCTTGCAAGAGGCCTTTTTTCCCTCTTGCAAGGAATGCCAGGTGGCTTACATGAGCTGCCACCTCCTCTTCCTTCTATTCTCCATTTTATCCTTACATCAGGCCTGGCAGGAAGAATAGACTGAGAGTCCATGACAGGCCTCAAGGTACCCAGTGAGCTTCACAGCCAAATGGGAACTAGAACCCGGATCTCCTGAGTCCCAATCCCACGTTCTGACGGCTACACCACACTGCCCCTCATGGTTTTGTCAATGAAACGTCAGTGCTAAGTCTAATATGATATCACTGACATTCATAGCAAAACCTCATGGCCACTCCAGCCATTTGAACTGGACTGCACTGTGGGCACGTGAGGCTGAAGGGGAATGGCACCAAGAAGCAGCAGCTGCCAGAAAAATAGCACAGACCAACCATCAGCCTATACAAGGGATGTGTTCACACCTCCCAAGAGCCCACCCTGGCTATGAACCACAGCGGATGGAATGTTCTGCAAACAGCCTATGGTGAGCCTTGCCCTGCAGCCAAGTGCCCCACGGGTTCTTGAGCTTCCAGTTGGTATCCCACCCAGCTGCTGCTAGCGTAAACTGCTTTGGGCTCACTGTGACTTTCTTGCCCCATCTTTCTGCCTTTTTCAGAGATCATGAAAGCTGACTGTTGAAAATTGTTTTGACAGCCACAAGCAATCCCTTTGGAGGCACTTTGGAAGCACTGCCCATGATTGCCAAACATCCTTTTATTATCTTTTCATCCCCACAAACACATGTTTACTTTTTAGTCACAGTTTCACAATTCAGCTTCACGGTTGCATTTTGCATATGCTGAGGATTCAGAGCCGGAGCTGAGGCAATGCCAGTCCAGAGGTATCCGCTGCTAAGGGTACCAACCCAGAACAGAAGCGGCTCCAGATTCATCCTCCCGCTCCACTTTGTTGGTTCTTCACAACTCTCAGAAGGGCAGGCTGTCCAGATAAAACAGTGGCATAAGGATCTTTAGCTGTGAAAAGGGTTTGGGGGATTTAAATGCCCTTTGCAGCAAAATTCCCCCCTTAATTCCCACCAGGGTACATATTGTATAATTTGTCTCAAGCCTGTAGGTGTTCAGGAAAGTGCAAATTTGTACTTTCCCCATTTTTTTCTAGGGAAAATGAGTTTTGGTGGCTTTGCCAGCTAGCTATCAAAATTCTAGCTGGGTGGTTTTGGACTGGGATGTATGTTTGTGTAGGAGTAGTCCAAAACTGCCAGCTCCCACTCAAAACCCTCTTTGTAAAGGGCTAACATCAGGGGGTGAAGAAAGCCAGTGCCAGCTGCCCCCAAAGTGCCCCAAACTGTGATGGGTAGTCATGTCAGGTGAGCCCATTTCGAAGTGTTTTTGGTGATCTGTTTGGCTGTATCACATGTGTTAGTTTGGAGGTAAATATTAAAATTAGTGCAACCTAATGAAAAGTTTTCTATGGAGGTTGCGAGGAGAGGAAAATGGGCCACCATTGCTATTTTTCTGTGAAATAAAATGTTCTATGTGACAGGAGTAGTTCATGGTTTTCAGTGCATGCTTTGCATAGGAAGCCATGTTGAGTCTCTCCAGGAAGAAATGTAAGTGTCCTGAGAACAGGAAGAAAACCTGACTCCTTGAGCTACATCTTGTAGAATTTCCCTTCTCTGGGCCATTTCCACCCATCGGTGCTCCTCACATCCCCCACCTCAGTCTAATAAATGTGAAGGTCTTTCCCCTACCACCTGCAAAGATCAGACTCTCCACCTGCTCCATGGGGAGGAGAATCAGTGACTCCACTCAGAACCTTGAGTGTTTGTAAGTCACGGGCTGGCGGGCTGGCTGGCGCCTGCCCCCCACCCCAGCCTCACTGTCTTATCTCTCTGGGAACGGCACATTGTCTGCCAAGTGCACCATCCTCATTGCGTGGTGGACAACTTCCAAAAGCCAAACAAGAGCCAGGCTTCAGAGCACACGGTATGATGGGAAGGCAATGCCTGAAGGAGATGAGTCTATAATACACAAAAAGACGTGACATATGCTTCCACACTCTCGTAATGAATTGGTGTTTTGGACTTGGTTTCTGGAGAAGGACTGGAGACCGCTGGCAATGCTTTGCTGTAGGTTACCATGTTCAAGTATTTTTGCAGCAGGAAAAGACGCATCCAGGAACTGAATACAGGGCAAAACATTTGGAATATGCTTTGGCAAGTTTAAGATGGCAACACAGGATCCAGAGTAGATGTCAGATTTTTTTCCCCTAAATATCAGCTGGTCATCCAAAAACTTAATCTGGGCTCTGAGACTTCTTAAGGAGCCACAAGAATTCTAATTTAACTTGAGTTTTAATTTGGATTTATCAGTACAGTGTCTGAATGAGATACAAACTCCAAATTGCCTAGAATTCTATCAGGTTTACTATACAGGAGATAAATGCCTAAAATCCAGAAAACAATCTTGGGTCTTCCAGATTTCATTAGCAACTTTAGTCTGAACTCATAGCAGAAGGGGAAGATTGAAGTGTTGTTAGTTCATAGAAACCCTGCAAGATCGTGATGACCTGCAGTGCACTTGCAAGCGGGGGGGAGGGGCACAAATAATGTTGCATCACACATTCCCTTCCTTTGAGCAGCAGCATGTTATGGAGAAGAACTGAAGACTATTATGGGAACGGGAAGCTGAAACCACACTTCGCCTTGTGTGGTTGCTGAATTACACATTGCTTTCCAGCTCCGATTACTCCTTATTCATTGCCCTTTCCCCACAGGGTACAGCTTACTATGTCCAAGTGTCTGCCTACAACATGAAGGGCTGGGGACCTCCTCAAGCTTCAGTGCCACCCTTTGCCATTCCCTCAAGTAAGTGTGGACCTCAGGGAGCATCATGTGCACATCTTGGTGTTGCTGCCTGGTTGCTACTTTCCTGACTGTGGAGATTCTCTTCTAGAGCATCCCATGTATAAAACCCCCAAAAGGTATTGGAACACTCTGAAGGCTAACGGGACTGGTGCACAATGCTCTGCGGTTAATGTGTGCTGCTGCATGTTGCGGGATTGTTTGCTGGCTTTTGGGGGAAAGTCCAGCTTCCGTGTTCCCTGTTGACGTCGCTACTCCCCCTGTGTGTCTTTGCAAATGAAAATGTGTAAGTTATACTCTTGGGGCTGCCACTCCCCACCTGCTCCCAGCTTCACGAACAGAGCTGCATCTCGACACTCCCAGTCATTAATTCTATCGAGCAGAGGCAGCCAACGGGTTGCTAACAACTCCTCTTTTGCTTATTTTAAGGGAAGAAAAACTCAAGGAACCCCTCGGTGGCCTTGTCCTCTCCTCTGAAAAGGCATCCAATTCTCCTCCCTATCCCTGTAAAATGTACACAAATGCTAAAATGTAGGGGATTTTTTCACCCCACCATCACATTTATGTAAAATGCATGTTGCACAACAAAGCAGAATTCAATGAAACCGGTTTTTCTATTTAAAAAAAAAGAAATTATATTTTTCCTTACTTAAATGCAACTAGATTGGGGAACTCCTCTCTATTAGATGGTACTCCAGCCAAGAGAGATTTCCGTTCGGTTTGCAGCATACTGAGCAACTGTCCCACATGTTAAAATAGGATCCTCTCATCTGCTAGGTACCCTTTCCTAGACCCAGAAGGGCAATGCCTTTAAAAAGAATTCATGTGGCCTACAAGTGGTAAAACATTGTGTTGTGACCACATTAGAGGTTGCTTGGGAATTAAGTGCAGTGGATTGTGCCCTTCAGCTACATACGTAATGTACGTAGCTATAATGCCCAGCCTGATTTAAAAAAAAATGCGTGCTTTGACATTTTAAAGAAAATATTTCCCCCTAAATAAAAATAACCAACGTTTGTCACGTAAAAGTTTGAGGCACCTCCCTGGGTGTTTTTAAAGTACCTAAAAATAGCACCTGGCCTCAGCCAAAATTAACAGAGCTGCTCTTTCCATGGAAAACAGCAGCATGGAGGAGTGTATAAACCAATTAATGTAAAGTTAATGTAAAAGAGCTGTTCCCCACACACTTGCCTGTGCTGTTCAGTAGCTCCGCCACCTCATAACTAAAAAGCACGGGGAAGAGGTTTTGTTTGTTTATTTGTCTAGGTAAGTTTGCCTCCCACTGTTGGTCTGAAGAAACTTTTGCCCAGTTGAAGGCCAAACAGCAGGAGTCGAGCTATGGAAACACTGGAAAGAGCAACAACAGACATGACCTTGTTTCTACTGATTTCTCATCTCCTCCTACTGGTGGCAGCTGTTAAATTCCATCATCCTTACAAGCAGTTCCCACCAGTGGTTACTGCTCTTGGGCTATTGCTTCCATTTGCCATAACTTGAATTGCACCTCTTAAGCTTGCACTGGTGTCCTCTGATGTAAAACTCGAGCAGTCACAGGGCCATCCACTGTCGTGGTGTGCAAGGAGAGTATGAGGGGAAAACAGTCCGACTTCTTGAGAATCCCAGGATTCATTTAAAAAATGAAAGTAGCCAATTAAATGTTCTGGGGATATGTTTAAAAGCAGGTTGAGTGGCTGAAGTCCCTGCAGCCGTAGTGGAACTGGAATGCTTCCTCCAGCTCTTTGCCCTCTTCATGGATGCAGAAGCCTAGTCATTCCTAAAACATATGCAAATGTGCTGAAGATTTCTTTGTATCGAGACACCATCATCTTCCAGTCAGAGCCCTCCCATTTTCTCCTTTACTGCATCCTCCTTACCACAGAATAGCTATTTATTAGAAGGATAAAAGGAAGATTTTCCCTGCCACAGATATGGGAATTCGTACAGTGCAGAATCTGAATATTCAGAGCAAAGATTATACAAAATGCTGGTCATGTTGCAAACATAGCTGAAGTCTCGATATGTGCAAAACCAGGCAGCAACAGGGGACAGAGTTTTAACGTTTTACTGCAGGCTGGTCCCAGATGCTATGCTAGCGGGGGTGGGGGGTGGGGGGAAGTGGTAGTACAACACATCTGAAGGGTGGAAAACTTTTACTGTGCAAAACACATATTTCTCTTCTTCGTTCTCCACTCCTCAATCTACTACTCTCCCTTTCTTCTTCTTCCTTTCTTCAAAAATCTAAAGAATCAAAGCAACTAAAAATGGTAGTAGTGAATTGTACTGCTGTTGCTGGTATCAGCCAATTTAGAAAAGATTTGGATCCAGTTGTGGGTTTGGTTTGCAAACTGAAGCTATTGCTCTCAGAATAAGGCTTTCAAATCACAAGCCATCTGCATCTACCTGTCAATCTGAGAATCGCTAGCTCGCTTTAGTGCCAGTAAGTACTTTATGTTTGAATAAGGTTCTGGATGGGAGAAAACAAAATGGCTTTATGGCACACTGTAGTTTTGGCCTTGACTATGAAACTACCATGGGAAGAAAATGCGTTGTGAAGGATGAGAAGGTACTTGTTCAGGTGCATCTTTTGCTGCTGTGACTCCCTTTCTTTGATCTTCTTACTTCAGACTGGAGAGAATATGATGGGCGGGCACCACGTCGAAGAGGTCAAGCTGAAGCTTTAGACCACCTCCTCAACCAGGTGAAGATGGGGCACCAGCACTGTGTGTGCCACGGTAAGTCTGGCTGCACAAGTACAGGCACTTGGGCGACCAGTCTCCAGAACTAAGAAAGGGTTTGTAGTTGGTTGAGAGGAGAAACGGGGAGAGTGCAGATAAGGCCTCAGCTGGAATTTTGAATGAAAACTCATTTTGGAACCTGCATCAAATTCCTCTGCTGATCCTAGCTGCCCAATACCAACTCCAGCAAAACAGTGCATTCATCTCCTGTGGAGGTAAGATCACTGAGGTCTTCAGAAGGGGCACTTGTGTGCTTCAAGCAGAAGCGGAAAATAATGAAGGGCACAAGGTGTTGGAAACCTTCAGGAAGCGGGGAAGAGAGGCTGAACACCTGTGGGATTGATTAAGTCAACAGGCTTTCCAAATTGAGCTCGGACATTTTACAAGAAGATTAAGCTTGGTGAAAGCTCTGATTTCCTACCAGTCAAGACGGCTTTTCTCTTACAATAGCTTAGTCCATGGATGAGGGAGCAATGGCTTGTGAGCTAAAACAGACCCACTAGGCCTCTGTGTCCAGCTCCCAAAGACACTCCTCCCCAGAAAGGGAGATGAAGCAAAAGGGCAGCCCCTGACTGAGCCGCAGCCTCAAGCAGCAGCTCTCAGGGCCACGGCATGGGCCACGGCATGTCCTCCTCAGTCACCTTCATGCCCTTCTGATCAGGGAAGGGGAAGTGAAGCTCCCTCTAGACTGCACCAGCACCTCAGGGAGGCACTCCTTTGGACTGCTGGTAGAAGGCCCCTAACACGGTGGCATGATGCCAGCTCAGCCCTTGGGCCAAAATGGGTTCCGTGTGTCCCATTTAGTCCTTGTGCGACTCCACCTCGCAGAGACCTGACATGGCCCTGCCAGTACGAGGAACAAATCTCAGCCAGACCCAGAAGACTAAGTGGGGTGGGGGATTGTGGCTAAAATTTTGGAGGATAGGTAGGAAGGGCCACAAGCACATACACAAACCCTGTCCTCTGACTCCTCTCAATCATAGGCAAACCTTGCTTGGTCTCTGTTCCCTGCCCCTTTAATTCAAGCACTCTGAGAAGCTGTGAGCCAATGTGACCTGTTGGTGGACTGCAGGATCAGATGCCAGCAACAAGCAGGCACAGCAACCTGGAACAACTTAGGCCATTCATTCCTAAAGACAGTTCATATTATCAAAAGGCGCAAATCAAACTAACTCCTCTCTGAATCCCTTTCTGAACAAGTAGGCAGTTGCCATGTATTTTAATTGCACTCTGCCTTTTAAAATAGAATAATTATGACACCTCTTAAAGAGTTATCAAGATGAGTGCAATAAGATACAATCAAAACAGCAAATACCTCTTTTAATTGTAGTGTTAAGGTGTTTATCGTGTGTGTGCATAATAGACTAGAAACTGGTTGTTTCCTAAGTTTTCTGTAGAGATGGAATGTTTGGAATCATTCCTCTTTTAAGAGGAAAAGCTTAGTTATAGAACGAACAGTAGAAAGTGGAAAAATGCCCAAGGGTGGTGGTGGGGAGAGAGAAAACTAAGAGACAGGATCCTTGTAGGCAGGGCAGCTGAAAAATGGAACAAAATAGCCAACAGGCTGAAGAAGAGTTACGGCTACGATGAGAATGTCGAGGCTTGAGGGAAGAAAGAAGTCAAGGAAAGAAAGTGCTGGGAAGCCACCCTGTAGATCCTGGCAAGGAGACAAAGCCAGTGCGGGCCAAGCATGCAGGGGGGATGACTGCCCTACCGTGATTTTAACTAACCAGCCAATTCTTTGGCTGCAAGTCTTTAGTATGTATAAACATTTACGAACATTTACTGGCTAATTGCAGTTATCTAGTTCAAATACACTTGATTGAGTTGACTTGGAGATACTTATGTGCGCATCCTACATCTTATACTAGCTTCCTTCAAACCCTTCCAAGATCACCCTGGTGGTGATACAACGGTTGTGTATTTTATTCAGCCAGGCGCGGGAGAGAGGGGGAGAAAATAGGGATGGGGTGGTCATGGTATATATCATGGCTTGTGTACGGACTTTTGTATGTTATTTATCTCTCAGAGTCCTGTAAGAATCAGACACAGAGCAGAAAGCATTCTGTCTCCAAGAGCCTGAAATATCTCTTTCATCCCGGAAGCAAATTCTTAAAGACACTGAAAAGGTAAGCAAGTGCACCCAGTTCCCATTCTGGATCAGTTTCCCAGGGAGCAGGGAGGGAAAGGGGTTATTCTGCCTCTTTGGCCTCGCTGTCTCATTACATAGATATAGCTCTGCTGTTCCCCACTGAGATGTACAGGATCTTTCCTTGACTGAGCAGTTTCTGTCTTCCCAGGGGCCTGTATCTGGCATCAATATTCTACAAAGATGACAACATATTGGTGACACATGAGGATCAGATCCCTGTGGTGGAGATAGATGATACCTACTCTTGCCTGCTCATGCAGGACTTCCTCTGGTTCACCAAGGTGACTTCTTCATACTGTGAATTTAGAATGTGTGTGAAGTACTATATGGCCCGCATTTCTAAGAAAAACAGAAAAGACTCTGTAGCTTGGCTTTCCTGCTAAATAAATACCTGTAGACACAAAATGTCACCACCTCTACTTTTGCCTTAAGCAGCATTAGGGTTGTAAACCTGATGTAGCTCCATACAGTGTTTTATGATGTTTTAATATTTGTTATTTCAGCTTCCATAAGTGGAAAATAACTCTATAAATTTAAATCTAAAGACATAAAATGTATTTTAATCCACTGAAATATGACAAATCGACTCTTCCAATTTTGCTAATTTATTATAGATAATTAAAATGAAAAGACATTCTGAAAAAAGCTTTGCCAACTGTACCTGCCTTAGAGCAGTGGACAGTTGCCAGAAAGGATGCAAACACATTTGTTCTGTTAATTTTAAAAGATGCAGATTTCAGGTAACTCAGTTCCTGAAATAATCGCGACTAGGAAGATCTGAGGCTCCTAGATTAACCTGGACTGTCCTGTTGCTATACTTGGTGCAGGTATCTTGCATGTGGGATGAGATCCTGTGGCTGCGTCAGTGTGTCACCGTCTCCCAGTCGTCCTGTTCCTGTGTCCTGCAAACCCGCCTCAAGATGCTGCTGGCCATCTCACAGATGCAGGTAAAAAGTGCCCCAGGCATAAGGAGATACAGCCAGGAGTTCTTCCTGTAGCCTTTCATGCATAGTAAGGCCAGAGGTCCAGCTCTGAGTGTCAGGTAGCTCTCTCCCTACAATGAGCAACCGATAGGGATTGAAAAAGTAGGAGGATGCAATCTTCACTAGGAAGGAACGTGGCAGTTGCGTTCGGACCAGAAGCGAGCCATAAAGTAAGCATTAAGTGTTCATATCCCTTTGTTTTATTTAAAAATTTCCATACTGTCTATCATGTAAGCAAGGCCAGATGGTGTACAGCAATACATCTAGTATTACGTATGTGAGCATTATGCAGTATAAGGAGCACATACTAAGGTATAACCAACGGTTATCTGAAAACAAACAATCAACATTATAAACACAGAGATCATCAACACTGAGGAAAATAGGAAGGCTTTACTGTATGACTAAACCAGATCAAAATTAGTGCATTTTTTATTTCTGGAGGAGAAGGGATTTCAGAAGTGGATAGTCTCTTAGGTGCCTTCCTGACAAGGGGGCCAATTTCCTTGTCACTTTTAATATTTCACTCCCAATGCACACATTCCAAACTTTCTGTGTTGTTGTTTCCCTGTTGCATTATTGAGGGCAAAACTGATGCCTGTTATTATATTAGATATTACACACATTTTAGCAAGTATTTAGCAAGGGCGCCTCTTCCCTTACATGCCCTCATGCCCCTTAAGATCTGTGGGAGAGGGGATAAAAAGAACAATGACTCAGAGCAGGGCCTTCTCTGCAGTGGCGCCCAGGTTATGGAATGTGCTCCCTGGGGAGGTGCGCCTGACGCTGAGTTTATATTCTTTTTGGCACTAGGTCAAAACCTTTTTATTTAATCACTATTTTAAAAAATATTTTAATTGTGTCGAACAGTCGCTTTGATTTTGTCCTTTGTGTAAATTCTTATGGAATTATGTTATTCATACTTGTGATTTTATTGTATTTCAATCTTATGGATTGTTAGCTGTCCTGAGATGCCAAGGCATAAGGGATGGCATACAAATTTTTAAACAAAGAAAGAAAAAAGAAACTTACTAATTCATTCCTTACTTGATTGATCAATACAATTGATAAATTAAAGGTTAAGTTGCTTATGGTGCATGATGCATGCTGGTTACTTGGCAAAACCAGTAGCCTTCTCAGACTGACTCTTTTTATTCCAGAAAATTATCCTTGATTGAGTAGAGGAATGCAAACCCCAAAGGAGGAATTGTTAACCCACTTTTCTGCTTCACAACAGGCCTCTAAAGACATAAGCAGAAAATAGTGCATAATGCATATTACAAGATTTCTTTATGTAAAACAGGGGGGTAACCGATAAAGGTGGGCTGGGGCACCGGGATGGAAAATGCCCATTCCCTCCCACACACACGCCCCTGGCCACACTCATGGCATTGTGAGCTCTCACAGGGCCCCCCTGTGAAACGGCTGTGCCTGTTGGCTCCCTGACTGTCCTGCATGGCCACTGGCAGATGAGATTAAGCGTCACACGAGCCCCCACAGTGTGTGCTTGTGCTGCCATCTTCACTGAGGTTATTGGACAAGCAGCTTTGCTTGGTGTTGTGGTACGTAAATACATGTCAGTTAAGTGCTACAGTTTAATTAAAATATCTTTTCATCCCTTGGCAATCTTGCTTATCAGCTGCTGGGCCTGGTTGTGTAATAATCCTTGTTATTATGAAGCCTTGTTTACATAGAGCAAAGGAGAGCTCAGGCTGGATATCTGTATCCCCAAAATGCTTTCCTGCCCCACCCCAGCAGTGTAGGGGTGATACATCTTCTGAAGCTGATTTAAAGACATTTGACTCACCCCAGCCCCTTCTTTGTCTCTCTGAAGGGTCTGCTGGGAATCCAGGACCTAGGACAGGTCTTTTTTGAACCCATCAAAGACAAGCAGGGGAATATTTTGGTTGTGACTCTAAAGGAGGTAAAGACGAACCAAACCTTTGAAAGTGTCCGCTGGATCCCTCTCTCAAAGCTGCAGACAAACCGCAAATCAATCTCCTCTCCGGAAGAACCTACAGCTCTGGATGTGCTGCTGACGACCATGCAGGTGGCTGGTTATGGTTTCTTATGAAGAAGGAAGGGCCCTCCCTTATTAATGAGGAAGAGCCATTGGTCAGTTGCAGAGCAAATACATGGAGAAATTACCATGTTTCATCCAGGGCATCTCTAGTTAGAAAGATCTCAGGTACAAGGGCTGGAAGCCTTCTGCCTCAAAGGTGCTGCTAATTGGGGTAGAAAAAACAGTCTGATAATATGAGGCAGCCTGGTGTTGGTATGATTCATTTACATAATCCAGGATAGAGCCATGGCCTTGATAATGGATTCTGGGGCTAAACCCTGGTGAGACTTGGTTCATTTTAAGCTCTGCTCAGGAGTATAGAAATTGAGCTTCTGTCAATTTAGATTAGATACTGTGGTACCCAAGAACGTTATATTCCTTTATTCAAGGTACATGATACTTTGCAGAAGCAAGTAAATGTTTGTTTTCTGGTTGCCAGCTTTCCTGCTAGGGATTCGGATAACTCTTTTTGAGACATTTGCTCTTCTTGCTTCCAGTTGTTTTCCCAGCCCGTTAGTAGGTTTTAGCAAAGAATCTCTCCCGTGAGTGCCCAGCCTTTCCACCTCTTCTTGACCCCTCTTGTTTTTTCTCTCTCCTTTCACTTCCTTTCACTCAGCCAAGTGTCTCCAGCAACAAAAGGCACTCGAGCACCTGTACAAGGGGCTATTGAAACTGCTTATTCAAACCCATTGCCAGGATTAGCAAAGGCCAAACCACTAAAGGGCCAGTTCAACGCTGCCTCTGTTCCTGGAGATTGCAGCACCAGTCTGGATATCTGACAACAACAGTCTCCTTTGTAAGGCTTCCGGTGCCTCCCGCCCGTGCCAGTCTGTCTCCTGGGGCTTTTGGTGCTGCGTGGAACCTAGAAGCTGCAGACAAAATAGCTAAGCTGAACTTTTAATTCAAGCCACACAAACTGTTCAGTTTGACCTGCTTCTTATTTTATCCCACCACTATTTAACCCATTCTGGTTCGAACCATCTTACAGCAGCTTCTGGTCACCTTAGCTTTGCTGTGCGGGCTCTTACTTTGTCTTCGCTGGATTTTGCGGTATTTTTGCAGCAGAGTTTGCGGGGGAGGGGGAAGCTGTCATTTCTATAGAGATTTTCCTCTCCCTCAGGACAAACTGGCTTACCACCAACGAAGCAGCCAGGCTCTCCCTGCTGGTCTTTATTTGGGCTACCTGAAGCTCTGCAGTGCGGTTGACCAGATCCGAGTGTTGGTGCCTGAGCAGTTACCCAACATTTTATGTCACATGAAGATACGAAGCAACCCAAACATCTCCAGGTAGGGCTTTCAACTTGGCTTGTGCACAAGTAGGTCTTTATAGGCAACCGAGACAATTTCTTTAACCCACTGTCTTCCCACTTGGTCTATAAGGAGGTGAGGGTGAGACTGCTGGCAAGTTTGAGTACAGCAACACAGACAAAGTCAAGAGACACAAAGAAGACAGTCCACAGGCAATGCAGACACACAGCTGAGCAAGCAGGTTTGCAGGCAGGTTGAGCAGCAGGTGAGGTTAAACACAGATGTGCCACGGTAGCTAATTAATTGCTCACGCAGTGAGGTTAAATATGCTGAGCAAAGGTGAAGGCTTATTTTATCCACTGAGACCAGTTGGCTGTACATTAATCTTCTTATAACAGCTTCAGGTGGTATAACTAAACTGTCTTACGGGGTTACTGCAGCTTCCTGTTCTCACCTCAGCTTGGGATAGCATGGTATTTATAGACCTCTCATTTGGTCTGCCAATTCAGCACCAGATGCACTGGCCTTCATAAATCCAGTAAGAGAGTCTTGAGCCCTGTACTGCTTCAGAAAGTGGTCCAACGAAGAAAGGTTGTATTTCTTTGCATTCTGTGGTTTATGCTTGGCTTCAATTTCTTCTGATTAAGAAGAGAATGTGAGGTTTCATATTAAGAATGAATAATCGTACCTTACCAGCCTCCTTGCTGACATCAGTACAGGATGTACCAAGCAGTACAGGATTATTAAACATCTCCTACATTAATCTGCTTCCATCAAAGGTGTGAAAATACATGTATTGGCAAGCACAGTCAACGGCACTCCATTCCCCGAGCTTGATTTTCATGCCTTTTATTACCAGAAGTCCTCTGTATGTTCACCATCCCTTTGTCTCCTTTTCAAGGGAGGAATGGGAATGGCTCCAAAACCTGGCTCACATGGAGGAACCCACTCCAGCAGAGCAAGACCTGGAGGCCACCTCAAATCTCTTGCTTCAGGAGCTCCAAGGGGCCATCAGAGAACTGATGCAACTGGTCAACATCCCACTGCACGAGGTAGTTTCTAGGTGGGACTGTATTGTGGCTGTTGGGAGACATGAGAAACATTTGTAGTGGAATATAGCTGTGTTGGTTCCAGTCTACTCTTTTTCGAAGTTCAACTTCAGTTCATGAGGATTAAGCCAGGGCACAGACAGGATGGCGCTGTTCTTTATAAACTGTACCTATGCAGGCAAGGATAAGCAGCCCAGAGCTGAAATCATTCCTGTTCAGCTGCAGGTTCTGCTCACAGCCACAATGGAAATAGTCAGCAGTATAGACATAAACAGCTCTTGCTCAAGCAGTGGTGTGATCTGCAAGATTTGGATGCATCTTAAAGAGGATCGAAAGCCAGTCTCAATCTGTTTTACTGTTATTTGTTAATACAGATCTGTAGTAGTGCTTGATGCCTCAGCCAAGAGAAACCTACAAGATATGCCACATAGGGTGAATGTTTGTTCAAGTGTTGTCTCTATATGAGAGCAGTAAAGGTCCAAAGGATGTTTCCAAGGCACCCTGACCTCTACAAACCATCTCTGTAAAAGACTGCAAAAATAGTGGATTAGCACCAGTTGTTTCCTCCTCAACAGTTGTCAATAGTTGCCACGCGGAGTGGGAATGAAATTGATGTGCCTACAGGATTCCAGAATGGTAGGCTCAACAGCCAGTATTCAGTGGAAGACCTAGATTTTTCTAGCATGCCCAGCGAACAGTAACAGTGAAGAATTTGGTGCATGGGGGCCCCTTGACACAATCTAATTATAGCTTTCTTCTTGGCATGTGGCAATTGCAAATATCAGTCTGAGTGGAGAAATCCACCTTACTGAAGGATATCTCAGTATTGTCAATACACTTTCTAACTAGTTGCTAGGACAGAGATAAATACAGTTTAAGGTGGTTTAAATGGCTATTGTGCACTGATAAAACACCCGACTTCTCATGTTTACATTCTCCAGGCCAGAGATTTCCGTCTATACAGTCAGGAAGTTCTGGACTTCGGAGGACAGGTCTCCTTTCTCCTGCTGCTGCCTCCCTCTGATGACGTGTGCACTGCCCCCGGCCAGAATAATCCTTATGCGCCTCGTTCTGGCTTTCTCACACTCCCTCTTCAGATCTTTGAACTAGGTGAGGACAGCTGCACATTTCCAGACATCTAGACCTCAACTTGCCATCCTCTGCCTCTCCACAAGGGACTGTTGCCCTTCAGCCCAGGGATGTTCCTAGAAGAGAATTAAGTTGTGACATGAAAAAGATCACACACTGGAATAGGGAGCCTTGGTCTGATTTCAAGAGGCCTTCAAGCAACCTGTTCAGGCTGGCAAGAGCAACCTTTCCCTTTGCTGACAGCTGTGGGAGAGAGAAATGGTGACAGAGAAAGAAAGGAGTTGGCTCTACACACTTTTAGAACATGTAGTCCCCCAGACAGAACACCCAAATGGAATGTGACACCTGACCCAAGGGGGAAAAAAAAACCTTCCTCTGTACTGGAGTTTACCAGAAGACATAATACAATGTACTTTCCAGTATCATAGCTCAACCTGAGAGAGAAAGAGGGATGGAAAGCTAACCTTTCCAAGAACAAAATCAGGAAGGAAAATCACAAACCAGAACCAGATCAGAATGAAGTAGGGCTCCTGTGAAGCAGACCAAATCCAAACACTTGGGAATATTGTGATTTGGAGGGACACAAAGTATGCCTCTAAAAAAATTAGACGTTTATCTCCTGTGTCTCAATATAAGAAGACTAGAGGGGGGATTTTTTGAGACAGACTAGTCTAGCTTCAAATCACAGTATATCAGGGCTGTCCTAGAGCAGTGGGGGAGGGATATAATGTACTTCAGCAGTTTGCTAGTTTACTTTCAGAAGCAGGACTGTTAAAAGAGGTTTGGCGGAGTCTAACCAGGGATGGCAACACGGGGCAATTGCTTGGAAAATACTGGATGTTCAAGTCCTTCTGTCTTTGGCACTCTATGCTTCACACCCATTACCCGCCCAGCTTTCTTTTATTTTTGTGCACAAGGAAGTCTTAAACTGTTCTTCATTCATCATAACTCTGTAGCTCCTATACCTACCCTTCTTAATTTTTTTTCCAGTTTCCTGTTGAGGGACACCTGTAGATCATATGACTTAGTAGATTTGATCCTCAGAAGGGAGAATCACCTTTCCAAATTTTACCTTTCCTCCAAAAATAAAAATAAAATTATAGGCATTTTCTTTTGGGCAAAAAAAAAAAAAATCAGAATTTAAAAGCACACTGTACAAAACTGCTTGGATTTATTTGACTGTAATTTGGCAGGCCCTGCTCTCACAGCCTTTCCCAAAATAGTAACTATGGCTGCAAATTTTATCCAGTTCTGACAAACAGAAAAGCTATAACCATTGTCAGTGATAATAGAAAGCATGAAGATTTCAATTCCTAAAACTTTCAGATATCTGCAAATCCTGTGGTTCAGTGCACACTACTAGCTAGCATTGGAAGCACATGCACTGGCAGGGGTGGGCAACCTTTTTGGTCCTACGGCACATTTGGCATTGGTAAAAATGGCCTTAGGCACCACCACAAATTGTTATAGAAGCAAAATCTATAACCCATTTACTGGTAGGACTGTGTTGTTAACCTTTAGTGAAGACAGGAGGAAGCACCAGTTGTCACAACAGCCCCTGAGACAGAATCACAGTCAGGAAGACTCCGCAGTGGTGGTGACCTGCAACATCTGTTCAGCGTTTGTTTTCCTACCTGAGGGCCACATGCAGCAGGTGCAAGTTAGTAGCCCTGTTAGAAGAAAAAATGACAAAGTGGTGGAGCTGCAACAGCTAAGTGTAGTCCAGAAGCAGGAAGTGCATCAACAAGCTGAGGCAGAAGAAGGGAACCCTGAGGGAAGGGAAAATGAGGAAACTCCCTGGAACAGGGTAACAGTTAGATGCAGAAGAACTAGAAGACTCTCTGTGCCACTGGAAGCAGTGGAACCCGAACCACTTTAAGTTGCTTAAGGAAGAGATGGGTGAGAAATCTATTGGAAAAGAACTGCACAACACACCAAGGACTTTGAAGAAGGGACAAAAGGTCAGACAAGTAAGGAAAAAGATGTCACTGTTTTCAACAACAAAAAGGAAAGAGTGATAGTTGTGGGAGATTTCCTGTTCAGCAAGAAGGAAAATAGGCATGTCGCGACAACCCAGATAATCACCAAGTATACCGCCTCTCTGGTGCCAAGATTAAAGATATAAACAATAAGTTCGTGCATCTCATACAACTCACTGACAAATACCCCTTCCTTCTCATCCACGTGGGAACCACCAACCCTGCCAGGAGAAGCTTTGACAACATCACATCAGACTTCGAAGTACTAGGGAGGAAAATCAAAAACACTAAGGCCCAGGTAGTCTTCTCCCCAGTCCTACCAGTATGTGGTAGAGGAACTGACAGGGAAAGAAAAATCCTTCAAGTGAATGACTGGCTACAATGGTGGTGCCGTAAAGAGAAGTTTTGATTCTGGGACCACATGCGAAGGTTCCTGGAAGACAGACTATTGGCAAATAACGGGCTGCACCTCACAAAGAATGGAAAGGCTGCATTTGGCCACTACATGACAAAGTCCATCAAGAGACCTGTAACATACAAGGGAGAGAGATGTGCAGCACGGCATACCATCACCTGACAAAGAGTTGTGTATTTCAACAGTGAAAAATCCTCAGGCGGGGCCTAGCATCAGCCTAGGAAGAAAACCAGGTAACAAGAATGAACTTCAGTGTCTGTACACCAGTGCCCTGAGTGTGGGAAACAAACAACACAAACTTGCGCTCGTGCTACAGAAGGGCAATTACGACGTTATAGTAATAACTGAAACTTGGTGGGATGACTCACATGACTGGAATTCTACAACCTGTTCAAGAGAAAAAGGATAAAAAGGGAGGTGGAATCACACTATACATAAGAGACACATATATCTCCACAGAAATACAAGAAGAGGAACTTAGTAGCCCCTTTGAAAGCATATGACTTAATTTACAGGGAGCAAAAACTTAAAAAAATAGTTATTGGCATCTATTTCATTGGTCTACAAGGGGAAAGCCTCAGAAATGAAAGTAGCTAAATTTTACCAGAATTGGGTCACTAATAAAGGAAAATTAAGTCCTGAGTATTAATTGGTTCCGGTTTCCAAGATACAGCTTCAGGACAAAATTGCATCAAAATAATTCAAAATTACAAGGGAGATGTGCAATTATGCTCCATAACTTTTCTGAAAAATGTGATATAGCAATGAGAAAAGTGCCACACCAGTCATTATAAATTTATCCTATTATTGATACCAATAACATAACTTCCCATTCATTTATTGGTTTTTCAAGTAATATTTTCATGCTTTTTGCATGAAAAACTGACAAGCTCTAACATCAGATTAAACATCCATCTTTATTTGGTATCTAAACTGTGCTTTTTGGCTTTTCTCTTGTGAAGTATTATTTTATTGTATTATATTTTAATTGATATCTTTGTGAGCCGCTCCGAGGCTTCGGTGAATGGGGCGGCATAGAAATTTTCTAAATAAATAAATAAATAAATAAGTGCAGTAGAATCATCCCTGGAGAGATTCCAGCAGTAATCGGCAAGCATGGATGGACTCCATTTCCCTTGGTACCTTTTCTCCATGCCTGGTGGACTCTCTCCCCGTGCTCGTCACTCACTGCCCCACAGTTCAAAGCGAAATGCGAGTGTAAGAAGTGAATTTTCAGTGACATGTTTGCACCAGGTGCATTATAGGACCTAAGCATATTTTCCACATGTTTTTCATAGTCATTTGCCTTGCTGTTCCCGAGAAACTCCAACTATGATTGGTGGGTTCCTTTCATTTGCCTTGCTGTTCCCGAGAAACTCCAGCTATGATTGATGGGTTCCCTCCACACCATTGGGACTGCAAAAGGCACTTTTTCTTCTTGTTTAGCCAATGACACAGATAAGTTGCGCATGTAATGCAACAATAATGAGGGGCCCAACTCATGTCCTGATCCCCTATTTTGGACCCAAAATATAGGTGGTATGCCTTTTTCGATAATTTCCCAAAATTTGTAGACCAGTGTTACCAACCACCCAGTCAAAAAGAGGACAAGGATGCAACTTTTGAAAAGCAACTTTCCAGTGTTTCCAAAAAGATGGATGTTAGTCATCACGGGGGACTTCAATTTCCTTTATATATTCTGGGAGACAATTTCTGCCAAACATGCCCCTCCAAGAGATTCCTGACATGCGTTGCCAACAACTTCCTCCAGCAGAAGACAGAGGAAGACATGAGAGGATCAGCTGTCCTCAATTTAATACTAACAGGGATGACCTAGTGGACAGAATAGCAGCCATGGGAACTCTGGGGGAAAGCAATTGTGCAATACTTGAATTCTCAGTTATAAAGAAGACAAGGGATGCCAAGAACAAGAGGTAAACTTTCTTCAGATACATCCAAATGACAAGACATGTGAAAGAAAAAGGTGTCCAGCTACTTAAAGTGGATGGCAGAGTCACAATAGGTAACAAGGAAAAGGAGAATTCCTACTTTACCTCAGTCTTTTCCCACAAGAAAATTGACAACCAAGAAAAAGCACAAGCTGAGATGGCAGCCCAAGAGGAATGGGCAAGGAATACCTAGATGAAATAAACGCATTCAAATCTCCAGGGCCTGATGAACTTCATCCCAGAGTCATAAAAGAGTTAGCAGAGGAACTCTCAGAAAACAGTCTTGGAAAACAGGAGATGTGCCAGACAACTGGAAATGAACTAAAGTTGTCCTCATCTTAAAAAAGGGAAAAAAGACTAACCTGGGAACTATAGACCAGTTAGTCAGACATCAATCCCTGGAAAATTCTGGAGGAAATTATTAAAAAATCAGTCTGAAAGCATCTCGAAGAAAATGCAGTGATTAATAGAAGCCAACATGGATTTATCAAAAATATATCCTGTCAGACTAATTTAATCTCATTTTTTGACTGGGTAACTTCCCAAATGGACAAAGGGAACACTGTGGACATAATCTACCTAGACTTTAGCAAAACTTTCGACATAGTGCCACATGACATTCTGATAAGCAAATCAGCAAAACCTGGACTAAATGGAAAAACTATTAGCTGGATCCAAAATTGGCTGCCAAATTGGACGCAAAGAGTGCTCAATGCACCTTCTCAAACTGGAGGGAGGTAACTAGTGGGGTGTCAATCCTAGGCCTGGTGTTTATCGACATCTTTATTAATGATTTAGATGAGGAAGTACAGGGAAAGATGATCAGATTTGAAGACAACACAAAACTGTGTGAACAGCGAAAGAATGATATTCAATAAGGACAAGTGCCAAGTCCCCTACCTAGGAAAAGAAACCAAATGCGTCAATACAAGATGGGGATTACATGGCTCAAAAGAACTGAAAAAGAAAAAGACCTTGGAGTTATTGTGGACAACAGGCTAAATATGAGCCGACAATGCGATGAACCTGCCAAAAGGACAAAGGCTATTTTGGGATGCATTAACAGAAGTGTTACTTCCTAATCATGAGAAGTAAAAGTTCCCCTATACTCCTCATTAGTCAGATCTCATCTGGAATACTGTGTCCAGTTCTGGGCACCAAGATCTAAGAAAAATGCAGGAAAATTAGAAAGAATCCAGAGGAGGGCAACAAAAATGATCCAGGGTTTGCAAACGCTGCCTATGAGAGAACTGGGTATGTTCAACTGAGAGAACTGGGTTTGTTCAGCCTTGAAGAGAAGAACAAGGAGGGACATAATATCACTCTATAAGTGCTTCTCTCTGGCTATCACAAAGAAGAAGGTCAAGTTCTCTTCCCACTGATACCAGAGTGTAGGACCCGGAATAATCAACCCAAGTTGCAACAACCCAGATTCAGGCTAGGTATCAGGAAAACTTTCATAAGGCAGTGGAACCAGTTGCTAAGAGAGGTCATGGATTCTCCCACACTAGAGATAATCAAGGCAAAACGGGACGGTCATCTGAGTGGGATGGTGTGATGGTATCCTGCATTAGTAGGGTGTTGGACCTGATAGCCTTCTTCGCCCCTTCCAACTCTACTGTTCTATGATCCTATGATATTGGGAAAAGCAACCTCATGAACACAGGGTGGAAGGGAATCGGCAGGCACTGCATTGCTGACCTCTGCTGTACTGGAAAATTTGACCATTTTTCCTTACATACCATGAACTCAGGACATAGCAGAGATGCGTGTGTATACAAAACAGCATTTTAAGTAAGGGCAGCATTATATGTATACATAGCCATAACACACCCAGTGCTGCATTAATCATCAGTTTCTGTTAACGTTAATTCCTATCTTTTTTGCTTGGTTTTCAACCTATGTGCACCTTCTTTCTCAGCAGAACGTTACCAAATACATCATTCATCTTTAGCATAGCACAGGTTCTGTTGGCAATTATGAGGTATGCTTCTTTGATGCCCCCGGTGACATCTGATATCTTCCCCTCTTTGTTTTCCAGTACATTTTTTCACTTATGACCATGAGTTCATTAGCCAGTATTGCCAAGTGTCTGCTCTCTTGGAGCTAGAGTCACTTCTCTCTCAACAGAGCCTCAGAGAGGCCTTCTCAGACTCAGAACTAACTACTGCCAAGCAGAGGCACCAGCAAGTGCAGGACTATATACAGGTATGTTGTCAGTAGTGAGTAGATGATGTTATAGGCTCAATGCTCGGCATGATATGCTAGGCTAAGTTGTATCCTGTATAACCAAATATTGATATGCTAGGCTAAGTTATATCCTGTATAACCAGATATTGATATGACTCATCTTACTTCCAATGATTCTACATGGAAAGGTGCCTTGTCCTGCCTCCTGCTCAGTCCAGACCTGCCCTCTAAACTGATGCCATGATCCTGGCAGCTTGAATGCAAAGGGCAATGAGGACATCACAAGGAAGCAGAAGGGAATCTCACTGGTTGGTTGGTTGGTTGGTTGGTTGGGTGGTTGGTTGGTTGTTTTTAAATAGGCAGCTTTTGGGTCTTCCTTTGTTATGGGCCTGAGGCAGAATCTTGGACTCCCTGAAAATGCAAAGTGATTGCATTGGGAGCTGTGAAAATCATGCTCCCATTTATGGATGTAACAAGTAAATGAACCCTAGTCCTCTGGACTGATATTACAACACTCACGTGATTCAAGTCCATGAGCTGCAGTATGGGGTGAAGGAAACAACCAGGCACACTGCAAAGGGCTTCAGATGACCCTCCCCTATGCATTTAAGGAATGCATGAGGTGGACTGAGAGGACCAGCCCAGCAGCCATGTCCTCGCCCCATTTGTAAGCTTGGTATATTTAAGACTTGTCTCTGTGTGCATACCAATTTACTCATGAGACTGGGGATCCTACTTAGGCTGAGAAGGAGCTTCAGACCTTCAGTATGTATGCAGCACCCCTTCTCAGGCACAGTGGGTAGGGCTCAGAATAAGGCCCAGATCCTGATCCCAGGGGGGTGAGGAAAGCTGGTTGCCCCCACAACCAGCAGTTTAATTTCCTTTGCGGCTGCTGTGTGTGTACATGGCCCACTGGGGACAGGGGACACACGGTGCCCCCTGACTGCCCCTGGAACGGGACCTGCTCAAAACTAGCCTGCAGCCTCTCTAAAGAGGCTTTCTCTCCAGCACGGAAAAAGAGATGCTGATTCTGTGTCTATTTCTTGGACAGCAAATGGAGGAGATTTGGCGGGAAATGCGTTGGATGATGGATGCCCTGCAGCATGCCCGATATAAGCAGCCATCTTGCGGCATCCCACTTATGTGGTTCATTGAGGAATCTAGTGCCACACTGAAGGAGAAAACTTCGTCAGCCTCTTCCCACATGGACTTCCTTCCCTCGCCTATGCCCTCTCCTGAAATGAGCCGCAAGCTCAACTCTGGTGGGTTTTTATTGCGCTTTTCTGGAAGGAATCTGATTCACCCTCCTGTTGCAGTCCACCCTTCTGCCCTAGGGCAGCATATTCCCTCTGAAGCACCCATCCCTAGAATCTGTCTGCCCAACCTTTTCTGTAATCTACCAACAAGAACATTCCACCATTTTACCTCTCTTGCTCAGATTCTTTCGGTGTTTTATTCAGCTTTCCCCAAACTAGTGCCCTCCAGACAGTTTGGACTTTAGTTCCCATCATTCCTGACCTTTGGCCAAGCTGGCTTATGTGAGTTAAAGGTCAAAAAGAGAGGGCACCAAGTTGAGAGAGATTGGCTCTGTTTCATTGAGCAAAGATGTTCAGGAGAACTCTGTTTATTACATTTGGTACCAACAAGGGACTTTCCAGAAACATCTTTGAGCATAACTGTTTCCAACCCAGTGGAAAACTTACATCATATTGTCTGGAAGGTGGCAGACACATGCTCCCCCATCTTTATTTTCTTATTCCTCCTCCTCTGAAGAGGAGCAGAGCAGTATGTTATTTATGCATCGTTCTTTTTGAGTTCAGGGCTGCTCAGACGGTGTCATACGCCCCCATAGGATGCCAGTGGCGCTGGTTTGTATTCTATTCAGCAAGTGAAGATATCACACCTTTTAGTGAGAAGTGTAAGTAGCAAGAGAAGCAGAACTGGGAATTATGTCCAGGCCCAAGGAGTCTTTCCACTGCTTTCTTTTTCCTTTTGCAGGTTGCTTTCCTTTGCATTCTCTTTAAAAAAAAAAGGTACAATGCCTACAAGATCAACACGCTTTGCTTAGAGTGGGGAGCACAACTCAGATTACTCAGCAAGGACTACTTTTATATTGAACTTATTCCTTAGGATTGCACTAAAGTGTTGTGTTCACATTTTTAACAGGTTTTCTGTTTAGCCCACTCTGTTTACCCTCTTTTTCTGCACCCCATCCATAGCATTCCCTTTTTCAACCATTACTTTTTATATTGTTAAAGCTGAATCTTTTGTCCTTGGGGAAAAGCAGTTCCTCTGTGGTAAAATGAATGTTTTATGTGCCAAATTTCCCAGATTCAGGTCCTAGCTTCTTGAAGCTAAGGCTGGGAAAGGTCCTGCCCAAAAATCAAACAAGCTGCTGCCAGAAAGTACAGATGATAGTGAGCTAGGGAGACTAGTGGCCTGACTTGACAAAAAGAAGCTTCCAGTGATCCTATTTTCTCTCCTCCTTCCTGAATCTGGCAAAAGCTCATAAGTATTCACTCTCCCTCCAGCTGAGACACTTGAAGATTTTTCCATATGTTACACCATAGCTCAGCTTCCAACTAACAGAGAACCGTAAGCTGTCTGATTAATGCACCTGTATATTTTACATGATTATAGAAAAGAAAGTCTGTACAAATAGCTGATGGTGAAATTATAGTTCTTACAATAAGGAAAAGAGGTTGACCATGGTAAAGTGTGAACGTTGTATTTGACTTTGCTTCCTTTGAATGCTTCTGCTTTGTTGTTTATCTTTGAAAGCAATATCCTATTTTTTTCTCTCAAGATTGGTCATAAACCAGTTAGGTGCTTCTGACATTAAAATATCTAGATCAAGTTACTAGCACTTTAAAGAGTACATTTCTATCATTAGCCTTAACGAGGCCTTCCAGATAACTTGATGGGGCAACTTTGTAATCTTTTTCAAATTTGGTACTTTGCAATCTTAAAAATGATCTCAAGTACCTCTTGTCTGACACTTGTTAATAATTAATATTGTTATAATATATTATAATAATACATAATAATACATAGACTTGTTAGTCCCTTGTAGCCCCTCTAAAGATGCTTTTCTCTCCAGCAAGAAAAAAAGAGATGCTGCTTCTGTGTCTTTGTACATGTATCTTTCCTAGAACCATTGGGAAGGCATCTTCAGCCTATTGCAGGATAAATTGATCTAAGTGTGCTTCAGGAAATATGCTTGAGACTGGACATGGAAAAGAATTGTGCAGGAGTAGTTTTTGCCAAGAGTAGGATAAGAAGGCTTTAATGCACATTACTGTCTAAGGATACTGATGACTGGGGTTCCTTTAAATTATTTATTTATTAGATTTATATCCTGCCTTTTTTCATTCTGAAAGAACTCAAAGCAGCTTACATCATTCTCCTCCTGCTGCTCTCAATCTTATCCCTACAACAACCACCCCATGAGGTAGGTTGGGCTGAGAGTCTGTGAGTGGCCCAAAGCCACCCAGTTGGCTCCATGGCTGAGCTGGGATTAGGACCCAGGTTGCCTGAGTCCCAGTCCCGTGCTCTTCACCACTACGCCACGCTGGCTCTCAATATAGGCTGGTGAGGAACGTCAGACAAGGGCCTACAGTATGGAACTACGGACAAATGGAACTGGTTCAGGTTCCTTACATGTGCCGTAGAGTTTCCTTGGATACAGGTTTGGAGAGGGAAAGACCCAACACTGTACACTACACTGGATACCTTACTAGACTGGTTATAAAACCATGCAGAGGTTGGAAATGAACAGTTGTAGGAAATGAGGAAAGCTACCTTCCTCTTATGTCACTGGGCAGCTGGGCAGGGGAGCAGAGGGCCAGGAGCAGCGGAGAGGAAGGGGCGGGGCCAGGGAGGTGGGCGGGGCCAGGAGGGAGCAGGGGGCGGGGCCACCGGCCTGAGGGACTGATAAGGCGTCATCCCTTGTCTGCGTCCCTTGGCTGCGGCCTGGGCTGCCCGGAGACTCCCCTCCCTGAGACGCAGAGGTTTGTTAGTTTGTTTTGTTTGTGCTGTGCTCTGCTTTGCTTTGTTTTGTTTTGTTTTTCTTCCAATTTAAATTTAAGTTTATTTTATCCTTGTGTGTGTGCAAGTGGGTTTTCATCTGGGATAACTGGGCGAGTGAGAGGAACTGCAGGACAAACAAGGCAGGGGACCAAGGTAAGGTCTCGGAAGGGATACCGATGGCAGGCCAGGAGATGGCCTTGGCGGGAGTCACGGGTGCTGCTGTTCGCTGCGAGAGCTGCGACATGTTCGCCCTTCTCCCCCAGGAGAGGAAGGGCTACACGTGCTCTCAGTGCAAGCTGGTGACCCTGCTAGAAGAGGAGGTGAGGGGCCTGAGGGCCGAGAGAGCTCTCCAGGCCCCCCCCGGAGCAGCCCCCCTCTGGACAGAGGGTTGAGGGAGAGGCCACGGGAGGAGCAGCCGGGGAGACATGGAGGTATGTCACCCCCAGGAGGGGGAAGCCAGCACGGCCTCCTCCTTCTCCTGGCACCAATCTGGAGCTGGGAAGCAGGTTCTCTCCACTTGGGGAAGCTGGGGCTGAAGAGGCCTCGGGGGACCAGCAGGACCCCCAGCCTGGGACGTCAGGCGGCAAGGGGGCCGCTGCAGGAGAGGCGAGGGCCAGGGCACGGCCGCCCACCAGCACCGGGAAGGTATGGCGCCAGGTGACTTGTTGGGGACTCCCTGCTGAGGGGCACTGAGGCGGCAGTGTGCCGCCCCAACCTGGAGACAAGGGAGGTTTGCTGCCTGCCGGGCGCACGCATCCGGCATGTGAAGGACAGAGTGGAGCGTCCTGTTCCCTCTGGGGGTCACCAGCCTCTCCTGGTGATCCATGTGGGCACAAACGATGTGGCCAGGCAGGGTGTGGTTGGGACCACCAGGGAAATTGAGTCCTTGGGGAAGACACTCAGGCAACTGAAGGCCCAAGTGGTCTTCTCGTCAATCTTACCTGTCCGGGGATTTGGGCCAGGAAGGAACAGGAGGGCCTGCGAGGTGAACGACTGTGGTGCCAGAAGGAATGCTTCGGGTTCCTCGACCACGGCACTCGTTTTCTTGCAATGGACTTCTGGCAAGGGACGGGTTACACCTCACAAGGATGGGGAAAAGGTCCTTTGGAGATGCTCTAGTGAGCATCGTCCGGAAGACTTTAAACTGAGCTGGCGAGGATGGGTTCAGGCCCCCCAGTAACGTGTCTGCACTGGACAAGTGTGGGGGGAGGATCAGGGCTCTGGGAGCAGGATTTTAGAGATACTGCAGGGACTGACAGGACTCCTACAGAGAGGGGCCAGGTATCAGGGAGGATGGGAGGAAGGAGGAGGCTGGGAACTCCAAGGAAAGGAATCGGTGGGACGGAGTTGAGGTGCATGTACACCAATGCTAGGAGCATGGGTAACAAGCAGGAATAACTTGAAGCTCTCCTGGGAATAGGAGGGTATGATCCGGTGGGAATCACAGAAACTTGGTGGGATGAAAGGCAAGTCTGGAACGTGAACATAGAAGGGTATCACCTTTTTAGAAAGGACAGGAAGGGAAAGAGGGGTGGGGGCGTGGCTTGATACGTCAGGGAAGGGATAGGATGCAGTGAGATAGAATGCAGCACAGATGGGGATTCGGTAGAGGCAGTCTGGGTGAAACTTTGGGGTTTTGACAGGGAAAGAGATCTGACAGTGGGGGTATGTTATCGCCCTCCAGGTCAACTTGAGACCCTGGATGATGTCCTGACAGGCCAGATTCTAAGGATATCTCGGGGGAGAGACACAGTAATTATGGGGGATTTCAGTCTCCCAGATATTACTTGGGAGACTCACTCAGCGGTGACAGCCAGGTCACATCGCTTCCTAGAAGCTATAGAGGGAGGGTTTTTCACACAGTGGGTCCGAGAGCCGACGAGGGGGGTAAACATCCTTGACTTGGTCTTGACCAATAGGGAGGAGCTGATAGATGAAGTACAGATTAGGGGAGCTCTGGATGCAAGTGATCACTCCATCCTTTGCTTTGAGATCAGGGGACTGGGGATGTGCAGCAGGTCGAGCACTAGAAGCTGG